ATAAGAGTCATTTCGTCCTCTAGGTTAAGGAGCAGCTGCACGGCATTCGCATCGGCTACACGGCCCAGGCCGGGGCTGACGACAGGACTCGCCACCGCATGATCGGGAACGGCTGGCATTGGGGTGTGGCCGGCCGCATCCTGGGCTTCGTCGTCCTGGCCGCCTGGGCGGCCTCACTGGCGGAGGCCGGCCGGCTGCCTGCCACGCCCAAGACCTCGACATTGCAGTGGTTGACCCAGGCCTGGGCGGGCCGTTTCTGGGACTTCGCCCCGGCATGGAGCAGCACTGGGCCTCGGCACCTCTCATGCAGCACTCCCTCGCCAGACGCCCGGCGTTGGAGCCCGCCCTTTCGGCGGTCATTGACCTCCGACGGCGGTGGCGACATGACCTTTGCCGCATTTGTTGGGAGGTCATCGCGGAGCTCCTCGTTTTGGTGGAGGAGGGGAGGACGACACCCAGGCCTGGCTCCAAGAATTGCCCGCCCACGTCAGGGCGACTTACACGACTTCGGACCGCCCTAGGCCCTTCCAGGGGCCCACCTTCCTGGGCCTGCTCCGCGACCTCGGCTACCCCGCCACCGCGGACCTTGAGGAGGACTTGCGCCTGGGCTTCGAATATGCTGGGCCCCGTCCGCCGACCACCAGGCTGGAAACCGCGGGCCAACGGGCGCTACTCTAACCCCTCGGGCCTGGATCGCCTGCGGCAGGAGAACCGACCTACGTCGCGGCCAAATGTTCCAGGGGGCGCGCCGGCGTCCACACGGCAGCCCTCTTGGAGGAGCTGGTGCAGGAGGCCCGCCTTGGCCGGGTCACCGGCCCTTGCGCCGCTCCCGACCACTGGTCCGTGGCAATGGCCCGTGGCAACCGCGGCGCTGCCCTGGACGGCTGACGTGCGCACCTTGCGCCAGCCCCCACTGGGCGACTGCTTCGCCGCCCTCTCCTTTGCCATTTGCCAGGTCGACGAGAACGGGACCTCAAGCTGCGCCGTCGACGACTTCAACGGCGCCGACGACGGCCACACCGCCGAGTCCGCCCACAACGCCGTGGCCGAGTTCTTCGCGGCCCTCGGCCTCCAGACCAAGCCCTCCAAGGCGCAGGCGCC